AGTTTCCTAAAGATTTTTTTTCTATGCTTTTGTGACTTTTTTAAGATAAAAGAAACCACAGTAAATCACTCAATAAAAAAATGACCATGTTAAAGTTCACCAAAGTATGATGTACAGTTAAATTGGGCCTGGGACTGAAATATGTGAGGTTATATTTAACAAAGATGAAAGTTTTGTTCCGTACTGTAATTAAAAACATTTGAAATGCTACCAGTTGCCACAATACCTGATTTCTATTCTCTTTGCCTAAGTAGCCTCGATACTTAATCTGTTTGCAAAGGACAAGCAACAGTTTTGTCAATGTTGTTTCTAATCTCAGTTTGAAAAGATGAAGAAAACAGAATAACAAAAATTTTCCTTTAATTTTGGAGGGTTCTTTGGCTTCTGAATTTTTCAATGCTCTAGAAGCAGTGGGTGTGTTTTGGTGCTACCAATGAATCTCACCCATTCACTCACATTCCCAGCTGCCCACACAGAGGCACACAAACACCTCACCTTTACAGTGGGAAAAAAAAAGACTGTAATCTTTCCAGCACATCAGGAATAGAAAGCATAGAGGCTAAATCAAGCATTAGAAACTATCCTTCATGATGTATAAAATTCTTTTAAAGGAAATATACCTCAAGCCACAGTGAAAATTTTCCTGACACAAGAGTCAGCCCCTTCTCACAGCCTTTTTTCACAGGAGGTATTGGTACCAAGCAGCAGAAGACCCACACACCACTGTCATTGACTTTCATGTGACTTTGTGGCACTCCTTGTTTTCAGTGTCCCGGTGCTTTTTGCCCACACCCACTCTTTGGTGTGGTGAGTCCTTCTGCCCCCCACCTCTCAAGCATCTTTCCATCCAAATGCCAAATTAAAGACAAATAAGAGATACCCTTTTTTTTTCCCCAAAACATGGAGAAATACAGTGGTTCTAGTTTTGGTTCTTTTCACACAGATAGATACAAAATTTATTACATACTACTGCCTGAACAAGAAGGATGAGGAAATTTAGGCACAGTGCTAGGATGACATTTTTCTGTGTATTGCTCCACTCTATTTCCTTTGATTTAATCAGTGAAAAATGTTGTGTTTTACACAGCTTCCTTTAAAACATAATCTAACCCAAGTTCCCATTAAACTAATCCAAAATTAACTTCAAAGTTTTGCGAATTCTGTCCAACTTTGTCCTGGCTAATTTAAGCTGGAAGCAAGTAATGAAATTCAATACCCAGAGATTTTTGTGTGATTTGTAGTTCAAAGGGGAAATTTGCACTTTCCAGCGCTCTGTGGGTCTACTCTTATGATATAATGGTGCATGCCCCTGCCATCTCGGGACAAGAACCCCTAGCTGACAAATCCCATTCCTCTCAGTGACAGCTCCCCTTGGACCTAACCAGAAAAGGCTGTTTAAAATCTATGTGAAAAATTTATTAGTTCTTTCTCAGCAATAGACATTAACTTTGCCATACAAAAGTTGCCCATCAAGTTGCTGCCACAATGATTACAAATTAATATTATGCAAATATATAATAATGTTATTATCAACAATGAAATTTCTTTTTCTTCTCAGTAAACATTAACTAGAACTTTCTGTGCATTTATACTTCTTGTATATGGCTGTCACAGATATTCTTCAGCAGATGAGCTGAAAGCTTCGTCATACAACTACATAGCCACTGATTTAGGTTTCCGAAACAATAGCTTAATAAAGGTTTCTCATTCCTCGTTCTCAAAGTCTGGGCCCACAGATCCATATATAAACAACTCTTTTGCTAAATTTGTGAAATTGCAAAGCACTCACTTTGGCACAAGCACAATCTAAAATTCAAAAGCACAAGTTCCTTGCCTACCAAATCTGAAGGAGCTGCGCATGGGTTCACTGGCTACAGACTTCCCACAGGTTCTTGTCCTGCTGTAACTTCACTTTACTGGTTGCCACCATAAACGTGCTCACAATATTATTTCCCACCAAACTGGCATTTCCAGTGTATTTGAAAGGTCTACGGAGCTATTAACTACCTGAAAAAACAATTTGAAGTGTCACAGTCCTGAGTACTCCACAATCTAGTATTGAAGGGGATCCTGTAGAAACACAAGCATGTTGGATTAAAATATTTTCCTACTTGCTTCTTTAGAAACTGGGAGAATTCCTTTAACTCACAGAATTGCAGAGATAGAACTGAAGGCGCGATCTGGCCCACGTTGCCTTGTACAGTTTTCTTATGACTGTATTACTAGTCCAGTTAAAACTGGCTGATGTGTATCTCTAGTTGATTTAGCATCATTTTTAGTTTTCACTGATATGCAGATGTCTAACCCCAAGAGCCATTACACATATAAACATTTTCAGCTCTCAGGTTGGTATATGTATTTTGGCTGATGAATTTTCAAAACATGTATTTGTACTTGTGCCAAACAGACTGCCATTTCCATATAAGCCTCCAGTTTATGCACCAGCACTTTATAAATCTCCAAATAAAATCTTCCATGTTTATTTTTCTTAGAGAGAAAATCCCATTTAATAAGTATGGGCCTCTTTTTTATATATATGCATTTTACTAATTAGAGGTTAACTGTATTCTTTTCTAAGTCATATTGGTGTTTGATTTTTTTTTTTATTATGGGAAGAGAGGAAATAAAAATAATACTAAAAATACATGGTATTTCTACTGCGGGCTTTATCTACACATAGCCTAAAGCACATAACCGTAATTTTGTTGTCTGATGGTACTGGAGAAAGTCTAGTGCTATGATGCTAGGAAGGGGAGAAAAAAAGACTCTTCTGGAGTTTCTGCCAATATTTTGTCTGCAGCCTGATCTAAAGGATGCCTACTCCATTTCTGATGGTGTTTTGTGCCTTCCATGATGTGAGTTTCTTCACATGTTTAGTTTCTTGAAACAAATTGTGGTGAATGCCTTTGAAGGGCGTCAGCAGATATAATTTATTTTTATAAAGTTTTAGCTCTGTTTCATATGTGTATTTTGACTGATTAATTTTCAAAATATCTATTTGCACTTGTGCCAAATATAAATTTATATTCATAATTTACTCCCCCTCATCAGAGAAGTGGGGTACCCACCTTCTGGTCCAGGAAAGGGAATGTAAAGCCAGGGTAGAAAGGGGAAAAATATGACATTGGCAACAGCATCCCTGGTCATCCAGCAGCCAGGCATCAACCTGGCATTCAGTCAGTGCTTCGCAGAGTTGGGATATGAGATCCATGACAGCATCTATCCTAATTTTTCAGACCCTACAGCTTTCCTGAATACCCCAGTAATCACACAGCACAATGAGGTCTTCACTGGTTATTGCATTCATCCCAGTCCTCACTGGAGGCACCGTGGGATATAGTCCTGATGCCGTGGGCAGTAGGCAATGCTTCCAGAATCAGCTTAGAGCCTCCTCTTTCTTTTCTAACATATGTACATGGCTGCACGGTGGCTCTCAGAGGGCCTCCACGCTGCCATGGAAGCAACCGTGTTTTTATCCTGTGCAACCTGGCCTTAAAATATTTAATCCAGGACATGTTAAAAGCGTAGCAAGATCAAGCCTAGAGGCTCTGCATGTTCAAATATTTATGCTTCCTGGGTGAGTCCTGCAAGAAGTGCTGTCAAGTGTACTGTTATCGGTGTCCTATGCTGGCTAATTTAAAATTAACTTGGGCACTGCCTACATGAGTTGCAGCAACATATTTGACTAAAGTGGTCCTGCCCCTCCAAGCAGGATACAGAGCTCAGGGGAAAGGTGGAGATGAGATGAATAATTTTTGTGCCGTTCAAAACCTGAGCTACTTTTCCAGCTGGAGAGACTGACAGTGTAATTTAGGCAGCCCGATAGCAGTGCTAGCGAGAGCACCTCCGTTTAAGAGGGATGCAAAAGAGGAGCCTGACAGGCATTTTGCACAGTACCTGCGCTGGGGACGCCTCCCGCAGCTCTGACAAAGGTGCACAGCGGCTGGTGTTTCACCCACGTGCTCACAAGGCGCTCAGAGAGCTGTCGCTCATAGAGTAAAATTGGGGACATCCTTCCCATGATTTCACAGGCAGGATAATAGTTTTCAGGAATAGGCATTTATCAGAAACATTTTTTGAAAAAAACACAAACATTGAAGAAGTGAGAGAAGAAAATAAAGGGCTGTGTGAGTTTTCTCATTTTGTCTACAGAGTTTTCTCTGGGCCTCACTCCAGAGTTGAACCCCAATATTTTTGTTTGCTGATTCCTTTTGAGAGAAAAACATTCAATTAGCATACAAAGATCAAGCGCAAGCATGATCAAGTGCCTCAGAGTGTATTTATTTATGGGATTGCTCCAGATGAACGCACACTATTGTAAAAATAATTCATTTATTTCCCAGTGCCCTTCTCATTACGTATACAGCCGTAACAGGCAAAACAAAAGCTTAATCTGTTTTCAGGAGAAAGCAAGTGCAGTTCCCTGCCACAGAAATGATCCAGCATGTAGGAGCAAGGTTCTTGCTCCTTGATTATTTAAACAGAGCAGAGCCTACTCGGTTTCTGAATCTCTCATGTAAGCAGCTTAAATGTCACTCCCTGCTCTGCCAAACCATGTTTTGTGTTTGAGTAGTGCTCTCCACTCATCTTGCTGCTTAACCGGCAAATAATTTCACTTAGTCAAGCCTATTTCAGGAGTAGGAGGAGTTATTAAGAAACTGACTTTTAAAAAGGAACAAAAAGGAAGAAAGCAAGAAGTTTTCCCGGCGGTCGCCCGGTGCCATGCGGGATTAACTCAGGTTTCTAGTTTCCTAGGAACGTAGTAACTTCCCCGTTGGTTGTTTTGTGGGCGGTGTTTTTGAATATATGCTAATTCAGCTTTCCTGACAGGGAGAGGAGCCGTGTCTCGGTTACACAGCTTTCCTGACAGCCAACGGTGGCAAGAGGCTGCTACAGAGCCAGGCCATGCACTTGTGCTCGTGACAGGACCGCTCGCCCTCCCGTCGGGGCCGTCGGCACCCCCCGGTTGCCTTTGTCCCAGGCAGTGGGGCCAACATGTGCCTATGACCATGGAGATGAAGGACTCGGGCAGCGTGGTCCTGACAGCTTACCATCCCCACAGCACAGCCAGGATCCCAAGCATGGAGCAGAGCTTTGTGCAGGACATCCCCCCCAGCCATTCGCCCACCAGCAGGTAAAGCCTGAGGCATGGGGATCGGTGCCGTGCCCTGACGTTTCGCCGGGGTCGGTTGTGGGTTTTGCTGACTGTATGTCAGCCCAAGAGCGTTTCCCTATCGCTTGGGCACTTCACGAGCATTTTGCTCTTGCATGTTTCTTGCCTCCACTGGGGAAGTGATTCAGCCCAGTGCTGCTGATCAGGATTGGGAGGGGGAAACACGAGTGCTTATTTTAAATCTTGTAAGTCAACAGATGAGGCCAGTTTCCTGCCCAAGACACTCAACAAGACAATCCCCAGGAAAAAAAAACACGTGACTCGGGCTTCTGCTCAGGTCGTTTAGGACTTGTTTAGGACTGTATTATGGAAAGTGAGAAAGCTGGAGTGACTGAGTTTGGCGCTCCGAAAGTTGATTCTGGCTTTGGTTTAGAGGATTATTTAATTCCTTCCCTATTCACCCACCAGGTCAGGACCAGCCCTTGCCTTTTTGTGAAATTGCAGTTGCTGCTTTGCACACCCACATACACACAATGGGAGACTGCATCGTTAAAGACTTAGTCTAAATAAGCAAATTCCTTTGGGTTGCAGGAAACTAAGCATTGTCTTAATTAATGCAGTTGTGTGTATGTTTACTTCCCTGCTCCGTAAGAATGCATGTATTTGCACAGTTCAAAAATAGCAGTTTGGGCAATTTTATTGTTTAAGAAGATCTCCTAAACGTATGTATCTGGGTTTTGCAATTTTCTCCAAAAGAAGTGGTATGAAAGTTCAGACTGTAAAAAGTTGAAGAAAGTAGGAAATGTTATTCTGTGGCTTGATTGAAAAAATGACAACTAAAGTCTGAGGAAGCAGTAGATGTCATTATCCCCAGGAATTAAGTCTTTGTGTTCTCCTAATAAAAATAATGCTATTTACTTCATATTGTTTATTTATAGGCCAATAGCTATTTTGTTTTCAATGTCATTATTTAGGTTAGCTGCATCTTCCTGTTCTTTGTGTATTTCCCTGGCTGTCTCATAAAGATAACTCCTTTGTTCTGCTAAACTGTTGTTTGAGAGCAGTAGCAAAATACACAATTTCATGTTAAGAAAAGAAACACAGTCTGGGTTTTTAGATGCAGTAAGAATGGCATTTGCTACTCAAAACAGAGAGCAGTGGTTTGGCATTGGGTCACTGGGGAGCATGTTATTTCTTCCACAAGGAAGAATGCTAAACTCAATCTCCCTTTGAGTCTGTGAGCAACGGAAATGTGGTGTTTTGCTATTTTTCTTGTAGGTGTGCTAATTGTTTTAAAATGCTCTTGAAATTTGAGCTCAGGGTGTATGAGGGTTTAAATCACATACGTATCACCTAAGAAAAGCAGAAGTGCAAATTGCAGTTCCTGAAAGAAAAAAAGAAAAGAGGATCCTAGCATTTTGATGAGGAACATATTTTGGAAGCTCCTGCCATGAGGCAAAGACATGTGTGTCTCTATATGTCTATGTGTCCATAAGATTTTGGTGCTGTATCCCCTTTCTTGTCCTCAACTTCCTGCAGCTGTCTAATAGCAATAGCCAAATTCTGCCATATGGGCAGCCAGTGACTGTCTGAGTTTCCAAAGCCTGTTCAAGAGAGGGATTTTATTAACCCAGCATGCAGTCCTCTGGAATGCAGAATCCATGAAGGCAAATGCACTGAGCTTTTCAGCAAATGGTAAAATAGGCTCCAGCTTAATCCCTACTTCATCTTCTAAGAACTCTTTCCTGGACTGCATTTTCTGTATAGTTTCCTCTGCCGCCATCCTAATGCAAGAAGCTTTACTATAGACTCTGTCTGGTGTTCCTCGATCCCTAGGGCAGCCACCCACATTACAGCATGCTAACTCCTTGAGTCTCCAGGAGAATGATTCAAAAAAGCATGCAAAGCACAGAGGTGTTTCCTACTTTTTGCTTGATGACAAAAGCAGTTGGGACTCAGAGCCTGACTTTCCTCTCAATTCAGTTGGGTTTAGTTAGATGTAGCTCTAACGAAGGCCATACTTCAGATACATGTCTGTGAGAACAGAATCAGTCTTGGACTTTAGCCTTTGATTTGATAAACTGCTGACCAGTTCTTTCTCAGCTTAGGAATCAAGATAGTTCATTTTCCTTTTCTTCCCAAAACACTTCTCTTGTTTTAGAGTGATGTTCCATTTATATCAGAAGAACAGCTCCACTCACCAGAACCAGGCCTGGATCTTGAGTGTCTCCCAGCTGTTTTCTCTTGCAAACACTTTCACTTTGGGAACCTTCTAAGCAGAGGTTTCTCACAGAAAGGGGAAGCTAATGCAGCCTCAGTCAACATTAAACTGCTCTGCTTCCCACTACTTAAAAAGGTGTTGATAAAAAAAGGAAAGATTCAAGTAGCCATGATGAACCTCTAAAAAAAAGAGTAATCTCAAACACTTTTGCCAATCCCAGTACATACCTGAGAAGCCCATGGACACCAAAGTTTACACTAATAAAGAACCTTAGGTGCATCAGACCACTTGGATTCACATCCATCTACAGCTCCTGAAGGGCCAATCAGGCAGGCATTCTGTGCGCGTCTAAAACACACCGGCAGTATTAGCATCAGCATGAAGTATAGAAGCCACAAATATTTTAATTCATAAGCCCAGTGGGAGGAGAGTGTATATACCCCATTATATGTTAGGGGATATTAGCTGGTGGGCTGTAAGGGGGACAGGAGAAAATGTGCTTTACCTGCTTCAAATGGAAGACGCATCAGGGTGCCATGAAGGATGGTAAATTCATAGGTGTAATGAAGGGGAGAGTGGGATGAAAGTTTGACTAGGTAGTGATGCCATCACCAATCTGCAAAGGAGAATTCTAGCTTCCAAATTTGCTGTTGGATAACATTAATAAAAAGGTTAAGAAGAGGGACCACAAATTCCAGCCATTCTCCAGAACAAGAGAGCATCAGGGGGACTAAAGATAGCTGTACTTAAATATCTCCTCCGCAGCTATCTGTATCATTCATTTCTGTCTTTCTCCTTTTGTTCTATCTTGCAGACTTACTTACTTTACCAGTTCTACACATGAGGTGAGCCCTGAAAACTGCACTGTTGAGTTTGCTAGAGGTCCAGGAGAATTCTCCATCCAAATCTTCCTTTAATTCTGTTTAATGCAACTAGCACATTCATTTTCCATTTTTCTCATGGGACAATCAAGTCCCTTCACTTCACTTGTCATCTGCTTTGAAAGATGGCAATTGTTGATAGCATTTATATTATTCCTATCTTTTTTTACTTATTGCTTTTGAGAACAAGATGTTGGAGACACCTCTGTTTTCTTCGCTTGGCAGTCAGACTAACTCTACGGCATATGAGTAAAGCAGGGAAGATTTCTGTGCTTAAGGCGTCCCCCTCACATTTTTTTAATCCCATTTATTAGAACTCAGATGTCACAAGTACCAGTACCAAACACCCCAGAATATCACACTACCCTTTTCAATACAGATACTGTCTCAGTGCAAAGGTGAAAGTGCCGATTTATATTATGTAATGGTCAACTTTCCCATTCTCACTTCAGAGAATGAAGGACTTTGTAGTTGTGCACAAATACTGCTCTTGGATTATATAGAGGAAAAGTGGGGCCACGGCCATATGTCTACCTCACATCTCCCTTTTATCCTGCTAGGAGAAGCCAGGAAGAGTAATTCCTGTGCTCAGAGGAAACAGGCATGACCTTTATGCCAAATGGCCAGTGAGCTCTCTAAGGTAATTATGCAATTAGGGCAGTACAAAGCATTCTGAAGTGAGTCATGCTGAAGCTTTCCTTGACTCAAGTATGAGAGTTAGGGAGTTCCTCAGCCCGTCTGTTACTAGCATATCTACCAGCAAAGAACTCATCCTGCCCTGCAAATCACAGATATTTCCACTGCAATGAGTGACTTATGCTTATATGTGCATGAGATAAGAATCAGAGGAAAGAAAATGCATGTTCACAGGCTTTGTTCCTCCAGAATGGGTTTAGAGCAGCTTTTAAAGGGCACATCAAGCTTTTTATACATGGAATAAATATCTTTATAATCAATACTCATGCAAAGAGCAGCATATATACTACCAAACCTAGGAGCTTGCCAGATATGTAAAGGACAAAGTGGATTTCAGCACCACTGAACAACGCAGCCGAGACCCCTTCTTAGCTTCTCCCCCAGTCAACAGTAAGTCTGGCACTTCCGGTTGTTTCAGGGAAATGCCTTTCCAATCTCTTCATGTTCAGCATGCCTCCCTCCTCCTACTGCCAGGGAATGACTTTCAGGCAGGCATCAGTAAACTGTAGAGTCAAAAAAGAACAGGAAAAAATTGTGAAGATTCTATGTTGCTTTGAGTTACTTGCTGGTAGCTTCCAGGATCACAGCTCTCCCAGTCTAAGACCTGCAGATTTGGGGCCAATTGTAAAGACATTACACTGGACAAGCATGGCACCAGATCCTTTTTCAATATTCATCCCCCCTTGCAAGCCCCAAGATACTACAGAGATACATCAGGTTGAAGTAAAGTGTCCTGAAATAATGGTTGTGTCCCTGGAAGGAATATAACTGGAGGAGGAGCCTTTATGAACCAAAATTTGGCTTGTGACGAGAAGAGCTGGATGAGCAGTTCAGGTTTTATCCCAACAGAAGCAGATTTTATCACACTGAAGTAAGGTTTGTATGCCCTGAGGCTGGGTGATCTGGTTTTAATTTCTGTCAGCGCTGATTGAGCAGCTCCCCTGCTCAATTGTAAACAAGTGATGTCAAGAATGTCTTCTGAGTGATGCAGGATAAACAACCTTAACTATTTTGGATGTTTATCTCACTCTACCATAAACTTCCCCAGAAGACAAAAATAAAAAGCTGGTTCCTTTTCCACAGTAAATCTTGACAAAACTTGGGCCTCTTGCAGTAACTTGGGACTCAAAACCTATGAAATTAATATTTTAAAATGTACTAAAAACAGTAAAAGAGAACCCCACAAAACAGTAGTCTAGGAAAAGACTGTATTGACATAGGTT